CCCCCCCTCCCCCTCTGAGCTGACATCATTTGTGAACAGTCCCTAAGTAGCCTGCCTCTTACTTAAAGGATTAAAGGCCAGTATGTGTCAAGACGCGGTGGAATTAAAAGCATGTGGAGATACTGGTATTATCATAAAGCTTGTTCATTTGTCTTGGTTTCGATTTGTAAAAAAAAATTTAATACCCATTTACAATGTATCTTGAAAAGAAGTCGAGATACTTGTGATTAAAGGATATAGGGGTCACTTTGCTTCAAAGAAAAAATTGTGGGAAAATGGCCCCCAAAGTTTGGTGAATTCCATAGCTTGAGAGTCCTTGGAAAGTAAAAATTTACTTTTTTTGTGACTTTAATCAACTGTTTTCTCTAGAGTTTTAAAGGTGGTGAGCAAAAAAATATGTATGATTTTTTGTTGTTGCAATCTGTAGTGTAGCTTTATTTTGTATCGATTCTACGTTTAAATCTTTACAAACTATCGTGTGATGATAGTCTGAATTTGCACATTTATGCCAGGTCAGGTCATGCCATGTTATGCCATGTTATGTAATGTAATGTCATGTAATGTTATATATTTAATTCATTTTTGTTGTCGTAAATTTAGATGTTTTAAAACCTATCGACACAATTTATATCAGTATATTTTATATCTTTTAGTTTTAGCGTCAAGCAGACTGTCCGATTCCGATAAACGTCAACCAGTTATCGTGAATCATCATAATTTGTTATCTCTTTCTGACCTCATCATGATGGCCCTGAGCTAACAAGTAAAATAAAATGGTATATGTTTAACGTCCCTATCAACACTGTTAGGTTATTTCAGGGGCGGGACCTCCGAGTTTAACATCCATTTCCGAAAGGAACGCGAGCCAAAAAGGAAATATCATGTAAAATGCCTTTCCCGAGGACACAGCGTCGAACCTATCTGACGCTCGGACACCAGAACCCGCACGCTCTCGATTACTGGTCCAGTAATAATACGGGGTGCCCATTGCGGATGGGATCGGGTCGGGTCGGGTCGGGTCGGGTCGGGTCGGGTCCGGTCGGGGGCGATCGCCCCACTCGTCGCCTGAAAACAAACGTGTTTGTTTTTGAGGCAACGAGTCGGGCGCGGTCGGTTTGTGCCGTGATAGGCGCTTTGCCGCTCAGTCTGGCAAGTAAACCGCCAAGACCAGACCCGATCCCCCAATGGGCACCTCGTCTCGTATAACTACTAGGCTACCGACGCCACTCTAGCACGTGAGAAATGCTGGACTATTATGATGGTTGAACAGTGGCAATTTACCTTTTGTCCAACCAAGCGGCCGCTCACTGTATCCCAGTGGCACCAGCCCATCGGGCATGTCCCAAATGCCTAGCTATAATAGGCCAGTCCAGCACACCTCCGAGTGTTTTGTTGTTGTGTTTTTGTTTTTTGTGGGGGGGGGGGTTGGTAAGTGTTTTACGGCGCTCACAACTGCATAAGGTCATTGAAAAAGGAGCGCGCGGGACACATTAAACATTTTTCAGTTGGTAAGAAATTTTGAATTTTGCTGGGGTGGCAGCCGAAGCCTACTGGATCTTTAACGTGCGCAACTTGCACACTGGACCTCCGAGATTGTTCACCTTTATCCGAAAGCTAGGTGTAGGTCCTATCTACCAAAGAATCATTGATATGGCTAAAAGACAGCAGTAAGAAGGAGCCAAGGAGTAGCAGTAGAAAGGCTGCAGAGAGTGTCAGGAGCCCAGAGGAGGTGATAAAGGAAGGGAGGAGGTGGAGGCAGAAAGTGGACGACAGAACACTGTTAGAGAGCAGGAAAGAAGGTGAAAGGAGACAATTTTAGAGTAGAAAAGTTTCCGTCGCTATTAGGATTCGCACCCGGGACTTATTGAAAGAGGGGCGAACACCTTAACACCCCTAGGCCACGAGTGTGAATTTGTAAAAATGTCATAACTGTTACTCTGCTGTAGCTCATCTGTAAAATTTAACGAATAATTATATGTAATTTTGGATGCCCTGTGTCGTTCCAGTCGATGAAAAATCAAGGTGGGCAGTTGGCAGGTGCTGTGGTGTGGTTTGATCTTTCTTTTTTTTTTCAAAGATCTTTCGCCCTTTGTACTTTCCTCCCTCTTCTTTAATTTTTTACTCTCTTGAAACACCTTTCATCCGCGACACTAATATGACATTATTGAGTTGCAAGTGCCGTAAAACTCCTACTTGGAATTACTTGGATCCAGAGCTAAAATCATAGCAGGCGGCACATGTCCGTAGCTGCTCATCTCTCCTTTCCAGCGTCCACCTCGGGGTCTTCCTGCTAATTGTCACCGTGAGGAGCTGGTTTGAGATACGCCTGACCACTCCTCGAAGCAAACTTTTTTTCCCTGTGCCCCGCTCACACTTTTCTTTTATTGTGCTGAGTGTGTGGGAGTCTGTCTCCTCTTGGTTGTGAAGGCTCTCCTAGCATCTGGCGATCACCATTGGTGGGTCGAGCATGATTCGGCCACTGGGTGCTGCTTTTCCGGCAAGTTCATCAGCACGCTCATTTCCGTGTACCCCGGCGTGACCAGGGAAGAACACCCATGTTATCCTTAGGAGGTGGCTATTTGCAATGGAAGCTCTCCAGTCACTGTAGAGCCGCCCACTCCCGATTTTTTCTAGGGTGCTCATCGAATCTGTGACGAACAGGGCATGTTTATACGCTTCCATACTGATCCATTCCAGCGCCTCTGTTATTGCCTTAACCCCCAGTGCCATGCTCGATGTAGACTCCAGACTGTTCTTTAATTATCTTCCCGTCAACTCGAGCACTGAACGCCCACCCAGATTTCTGGCCACGCGTCACTGATCCGTCGGTGAAGACGACAACATCGCCCATCACTGAATTTTCCTCAAGGATGGTCACAATTTCCGCATTAGTTGCATTTGCTGGCCACTCGCGACACTCTCGACCTAGAGTAGCTATCACCTTCATGAAGTTGCTCACGTCTTTCTCCGGCCTCATCCAGTCGCATCCTTTTCTTATGTCCTCGATTTCTCAACACATATCGAGAGTTCGCTCTGCCTGCACCATCCATAAAGATCCACTTTTTAATCTTTGGCGTACTTGGTTTCCTATATTCGGATGTAGAGGGTGACGTTCGTCTGCTGTTACTTGTAGGTAGGCCTTGACTTGTGCTAGCTTGTGTCGGTGGGTTAAGGTCGGCAGGTCCAACAGATATCTCATCGCTGATGCTGCTGTGTCACGAGTGCATCCAAGAACAGTTCTCATTCCTTCATTTTGAATGACTTCCCACTGAAACTGTTTATAACAAAAATCAATTTACACTGCCTGTATATATTACATGTAACGATTTGAAACCAGGTCTTCTGAGTTTACTTCATGAAAATTTCGTTAAATATCATTGTTATTTTTAAAAATAAATACAGTACCATATTTTATATTTTTTTGGTATCTCTCTGACTCTGAGCGTGCTCAGTTGTGTGCGTGTGTTAGTTTGTGTGTGACTTTATGTGTGTGTGTGTGTGTGTGTGTGTGTGTGTGTGTGTGTGTGTGTGTGTGTGTGTGTGTGTGTGTGTGTGTGTTTTTAGAACTTAATTTAATTGGATTTTTAAGGCGCTCACAACTGGATAAAGTCACATGAGCGCGAGAAACACAAATTGGTTGTCTTGACTACAGTTCGCAGCACGGCTTGATTTTGGTCGATAATCAGATTAAAATGTAAAAAAAATCATGGTAAAAATCCCAATCTTAAATGACAATTGAAATAATATCACAATACGTACTATCGTATTTACCATTTGGTGAAAATGTCGATGGTTTTTACTTTTATGACATCGAGAATTTTATAGGGATCAACGACGGAGAAAATATCTTGTAATTTTTGACATTTAAAATACTTCCTTCGGGTCTCTCCAAATTCGGGACATTCTGTTAATATGCCGTGTCTAAAGGAGAAATCTGTGTTGCATCCGACAAAGAACATTTTCTAATCTCACTGAAGGAGGTATTTATGTGTCAGGGGTGTGTAAATGGTGAAATTGTATGGGTTTAACGCCCCTATCAACATTATTAGGTTATTTAAGGGGCGGGACCTCCTCGATTAACGTCCGTCTCCGATAGGACCGAGTCAAGT